CTCACCTGTCCTCTTGAACTGCCGGGTCCACTCCTGAAACCTCCTGACACCATCCCAAAATCCCCAAAAATCTCCAAAAAATCCCCAAAAATCCCAAAAAATCGCCAAAAAATCCCTAAAAAATCCCAATAAATCCCCAAAAATACCCCAAAAAAACCCCAAAAATCCCCAAAACTCCCGGAATTTTTTGGGGATCGCTCACCTGTCCTCTAGAACTGCCGGGTCCACATGCACCTGCCGGCGCGGGCGCAGCGGGGGCAGTCGGGGCGCCCCAAAACCATCCCAAACCTCCCGAAATCCACCCCAAACTTCCTGATATCCCCAAAAATCCCCAAAAAATCCCAAAAAAATCCCCAAAAATCCCCAAAATCCCCAAAATTCCACGAAATTTTTGGGAATTGCTCACCTGTCCTCTAGAACTGCCGGGTCCACTCCTGAAACCTCCTGACACCATCCCAAAATCCCCAAAAATCTCCAAAAAACCCCCCAAAATATGCAATAAATCCCTAAAAAATCCCCAGAAATCCCCCAAAATTCCCCAAAAATTCCCAAAAAATCCCCAAATCCCCTCACCTGTCCTCTTGAACTGCCGAGTCCACATGCACCTGCCGGCGCGGGCGCAGCGGGGGCAGTCGGGGGCGCCGCAGGCGGCCTCGGAGCAGTTGTGGGGCGCGAAGATCTCGCGCTGGTTGATGCGGCAATCGTTCTCGCGGCGGCAGCTGGCGCCCGCGCCCACGCACGCGCCCTCGGGACAGTTGGTGCACCACTTGCACGCCGGGGGGCCCTGAGTTTGGGGAGAAAAACGGGCATTTTGGGGAAAAATGCAAAAAAAACGGGGGTTTTCGGGGAAAAAATGGGGGTTTTAGGGGGAAAAATGGGGAAAAAATGGGGATTTTTGGTGGGGTTTTTAGGAGGTTTTGAGAGACCTGGGTGTCCAAAATTGGGGTTTTGGGGAGGTTTGGGTGAAAAAATGGGGATTTTGGGAAAAAAAATGGGGGGTTTGGGTGAAGAAATGGGGATTTTAGGGGGGAAAATAGGGATTTTCCGGGGGTTTTTGGTGAATAAAATGGGGTTTTAGGAGGTTTTGAGAGACCTGGGTGTCCAAAATTGGGGTTTTGGGGAGGTTTGGGTGAAAAAATGGAGATTTTGGGAAAAAAAATGGGGGTTTTGGGTGAAAAAATGGGGGTTTTGGGGTCTCGGCAGGGTCTCAGGGAGTCCTGGGGAGGTTTTGGGGTCTCAGGGGGTCCTGGGTGTCCAAAATTGGGGTTTTGGGGAGGTTTGGG